GTCAGCAAACAACAACAACAACAACAAAAAAATTTTTAGCAAGTTTTAGTGTTAGTTAGGCTTTAGGCTTTTGTGGTACCAAGTCTAGTCTTTATGCCTGAACCTTAAACACCTGGCTTTAAGCCATGCCTATCATGTAGAATGGTAATTCCCCTTAAGGACATGACGAATGTCTATATTATTTAGGGGAGAGTCACATCTAAGTGCACAATCTGTAGAGTATTTAAAAAGTGCACTCAAAAATCCAGGGAATCAAGATTAAAAAACTCTTTCTCACAGAGAAATCCATGAGAGCTGCATCAGACTCAGAGGTGATCTGAGGTGTGTGAAACTGCAGACCAATAGTGCATTTTATTTATTCACTGACCCGGTGAAGATGCCATTGGTTGCTTTACCAAAGAGCCAGACTTCTAGTGCCTAACAAGAAGTGAGGTGATTCCTGGCTCCAAGAGAACTCATTCATTTAATAAGAACCCTAAATCTCAGATTACAAAACCACTAGAACAGTCAGATACCCTGGCTGCCTGTGGGAGTAAGGAGTATACTGCCAAACCATCCTCTTGGCAATAGTCCCTGTCTCCAGAACCGCACAAGAAATCAGAGGTACAGGTACCGAGGAACTCATTTAAAGTGGCCACAAGCAAGTCAGAACCATGTGCAACTTCATCTTTTTCTAGTACCTGAGTTCGTCAACATAGTCGAAGGATTTTTCAATACTGTTCTGCATAGTATTGCAATCAAAGCAGCATTATATATTGGCACCAGCAAAACACCTGGCATTAATGTGAACAGAGTCTGACTCCTTGGCACCAGCTCAAAAGGCATCAAAGAGCATGGCGCGGACTCAAACAGTACCGAGGTACATGGTTATGGGCAAAAGGAAATCAGATATCCGCTACCTACACTTGGTACAAAGATCATCTGCTAGTAACTCCTTTATAGGCACAGCTGATACCAGAGTCTCCTTTACTGTACTTCTCTCCTATATCGGGCAAGTCAAAAATGTCCACCATAGCATGAACACCGAATGCCAGTCATGAAGATTTCATTGAGACCTCACATTGAGGATCAGAGAAATCTTTCCATACCTCAGCACCTCCAGGTCCAGATCGTCTTTTGGAAGGATCTGTTTCCTCCTCGTCATTATAGGCCTCCAGTAAAGACTAGTCCCCAGAGTGTCAACCATCTTCATCGGCTCCATCGAGAGATATTGAATGTAATAGAGGAGGTGCCTCTAGAATCACTGCATTTTGGGCTTTGCCACAAGAGCCATCTTTCGTTCTTTGGGGTTCATCATCTTGGTTTAATATGCTTTACCCATATGTTTGTCAACATTGGCTATACTGGCCTCTTTGTCCTCAACACCAAGTCATCATTCAGCTTCACACCCAAGACCTGAATTTAAATTGCCTCAGAGGTCTGTCCTTTCTCCCACAGGGCAGGCTGTTTCTGAGATTCAATAATCACTTTCTGCAGAGGACGAAGGAGGAATGCAAACATTTCGCCAGAGAAGTAGATTGCATCATGGAATGGGCCACTCATAAACTGTGAGAACCTGCTTCAATAAAGAAAAGAAAACCACACTGACCACAGACACCCAGTTGTCACCCACCATTCTGAAAGAAATCTTTTCTGAACCCCTCTTCAAGGCCTTCAAACAACCCCGCCAACCTCATAATCAGAAGCAAGCTCCCCACAGACCAGGCCACACCAACTCAAAGCGGCACCAGACCCTGCCAGAACAACAGATGCAAAATCTGCAGAAATACTTCCACTGCTACAATGATAAATACTTCCTACAAACACCTATCAAGATTCACAGGTCCTACACTTGCCTATCACAACATGTGGAATACCATATCTAGTGCATCATATACCCCATCAACTCCTCTCTGGGAGAAACCAGATAATCACTATGCTCTCAAATGAACTCACACAGAAAAATGATAAAAGACAAAAATACCATAACACCCAGGGCCAAACACTTTTCACAAAGTGATCACTCCATATATGATTTTTCAATACTTGTCCTCAAAGGAAACGTACACAACATCTTCAAATGGCAAGCCTGGGGACTTAAATTCATAACACTCCTAGACACTAAAAACCATGGATTTAACAGGGATACTGGTTTCGTGGCTCATTACAACAATCTGTAACATATGCACCTTCATGCTAACCCTTAATGGCTCATTTCATCTCAAGTGACCCCTTATAAAATTTCTCTCTTATGCTTAACTATCTGTCCCAACTTGTATTTAGCTCAGACACTCTGACTTCTTTTCCCAGACCTAAAGAAAAATGTTGTGTAGTTTGAAAGCTTACACCTTCCACCAACAGAAGTTCATCCAATAAAGATATTACCTTTCCTACCTTGTCTCTCATATATCTTGGGACCAACATGGCTACAACACCACAAGACAATCCATCTCTGAGGGGCTTTTCATGTTCCCTGGATGAAGTTATTGTCTCCTCCATTCCCCTGACTGTAAATGATTTTAAAGCTTATCAGGAGCTTTTAAGGAGAATGGCAGAATGTCCTGAAGTGTCTTTGGAGTTGGTCCATTAGAAAACACACAAACTGTTTTATGAAACTGGTTGAAGAATATCAAACAGAATAGCTCATCCTATTAATGAAAGAATCTTTGAACCTACAAAGGACTTGTGGCTACTTTGGCATCTATCCCAGTGACCTCAAAGAAGGCTGAACATAAATATTAAGTCCCCCCACAAAAGGGATTTGGGTATTTCTGTATGTACCTGGCACCAAAATCCTTAGTAGATACTGTGGTTAATGAAAAGACCAAACAGATAAAATCTACTTGAGAAGAGAAAGAGCCAAAAAAAATAAGATTTATTTGGCCAAAAGGTTATTCTTCTGCTTGTCTTTGGGTCAGAATTGCAAATTATAAAGCTAGGCTGGCCAAGGATAATTATATCTAGTAGTACAGAACACCAGATTTCATGGACAAACTACCATCAGATATCAAAGAGGAATTTAAATTAATTTGTATAGAGGGACAACTAATTGCTAAGAACTCCTTTCTGGCAGGTTTGGACTCAGCTGATACAGGACCAAGACTGATGGTTACAGGTGTTACCATGAGGAGAGACTCATGATTATCTACCTTATCTACCCCATAAGGAGGTACAAAGAACAGTGCAAGACTTACCATTTGATGGGAAAGAGCTATTTAATTAAAAAGGGATGACACATTGTGGACTCCTTGAAGGACTCTCGAACCACACTTAGATTTCTGGGACTATATACCCCCAATTTTAGAAGGAAGCATTATAAATGTCAGCTTTCTTCTAGACAGAGATCTCAACCAGCCACCTCCTCTTATTTTTACACTTCTTATTATTTTTACCACCAGATCAGATGAGAAAGAGGTAAAGGTATCAAAAGAAAGCCATTTTCATTGTCCTCTACCCAGCCATTTCAATCTCAGAAACAACAGTTTAATGCTTCAGTTGAGGATACTGCTCTAGACTTTGTGGATTGATACCTTTCTTACCTTCCTTTTGGTTCCCATCTCTCTTTCTTCAAGGAGGCTTGGGCTGCAGTTACCTTAGACCACTGGGTCTTGCAGGTGATCCAAGGGGGGTATACAATTCCATAAAATATCTCCCCATACCCACCCACCCATTCCCTTTTCAGGGACTACTTGCATGGGAGGCCATGCCTCTGGCTTCAAGGGAAAAGGATTTTATTTTCCTTATTCAGAAAAAAAAAGGGAGTTGGTGGCCTGTACCATAGCTCAGGTTTTTCAATGTTTATATTATCCATGCCAAATTTCACATGGTGGCTCTCGCATCTATCATACCTTCTTCAAGACTGTTTCAGTACCCTCAGCTTGCAGGATGCATACTTTCTGGTTGATACATCCATTGCACAGGAAGTTTTTTGCTTCGTGATATCAAACAATCATGATTAGTTGAGAGTATTTCTGTTGGCCTTTCAACTAAACTTGGAATGTTCTCAAAATAACAGTCAGTGGTAGCAGCTTATCTTAGTTAAAATCTATTATTATTATGATGGTGATTACTATTTTTGTCAACAGGGTATAGAGTAAACACTACACTATCAAATACAATGGATAAAATTAATTAAAAGTTTACATTAACAACAAACTAGGTATACTAAGGAAGGACATTATGTTGTTTCAACTCTCTGCCAAGGAGTGGTTAGAAGGAACTGAATGGTGGGCAATGTTGCTTTCCCTTTATGCCTTAGGAGAGGAGGGGGAGGGCATGAAGTTGCATGTTTGACCCCTAGTGGATACTGCTGATAAAACTTCTGAATGCACACTGCCAGTGGGATCCACATGCACACAGATTCAAAGAATAACAAGACTTCGAAGTAAATGACATCTATAAACAGAAAGACCAGAAAACGTGTGCTAATATCTTTAAAATACATTAAATGACTGTTAATCAATTTTGAAATTCAAGCTGCTGTCACCACTTACTGATATCCCAGCCGTGACATGTATATAGCACAAGAAAAAAAGTTTAATTGTCTTGAACAAATCACAGAATAGAGTAAAAGTTTAGATTGTATGGAGGAATGTTCCTTTTACCACGAAAGAATAGCAGTGTCAATTAAGGGTTAGCATAATAAATAAGCATTTATATTCCTAACAGGCCTGATCTAAACTCACTGAAGTCAATGAATAGGCTCCTACTGACTTCAAAAGACTTTGGATCAGGCTCAATCTGAAAACTTCCTGAGCTATTCAAGAACATTTTACCAGATTATATTCAAACTAAATGTGAGCAGACTCAATTTTGGAGTCCACCAAATCTTTTGTTGTAGGTCTATTTTTTATAAATGATGAGACAAGAGATTTATTAAAAAACAATCCAATTACCATACCGGTAACATTAAGATTAGACACTGTCTATCTGTAGTATTCTGGGTAAAATAATAAGTAAACATACTTACATGTTTTGTTATAAAGGAATAAACGTATATAGTGTAGTTGGACATTACTTACAGGGAATATCTCGGTAGCCATTTTCTAGTGCACGAAAGTAATTCAAGAATTCTTGTGATGGAATTCTGAAAATTTCAAACAAGCCAGTGTCTTGGAACAAGGTGTATGTCACCTAAATACATATTAAAATTAATTTTCATTTGAAAGTGTCAAAGTTTAATCATTTTAGCTTCACTCTACTTTAAGAATATTCTGCTATATTTTTTAAGTATACCATTAAAATTGTTAAATTATTAAATTTAGTTGATGCTTCATTAAAAATGAGTCATGGGGCACTAATGTGTTATTAATACAGTTTGCTGGAATTCTTTCCAGCAAAACAGACACCTATCTTACCACGCTCTTGAAATCAAAGAGAAAAAAAAATCTGCACATCTCTTTACTGAAATGACCCCAATGCACCTTCTTACTTTCTTTTCCTATCTTTAATCTTTTATGCATGCTATGCTAGAAAAATTCTATTACTGAGGAGCACAGTTGCCAAACAGTCCCCATCCCAAAGCTTTAGACCAGTGGTGGGTAACTTGCAGCCCGCAGTCCGAAGGTTGCTCACCAATGCTTTAGACAATCTTTCAAGTATAGACTTGATTAAGAGATCTGTCAGGCTTCCTAGGAGAAAATAGATAAAGGTTCCTCTTGCAGCCTTCCTTCCTCCTATAAACTGTTCACTGGACCTCTCTTTTACGAATGCAGTACATATACCTTTAAAGAATCACATTCAACAGGTTCCAGTGTCCTCATCCTAACCCAAAAAGCTATGCAAGAAGTTTCCCCTGAGTTCTAGCTTCTCCAAGGGCACTCCTGTCTCTATACCTAGGCTGATACCAATTTCCTTCGTTAGGGAAACTGGGATGAAGGTAAATCAGAATGGTGAGGACATTTTTGAGGCATCAAAAGATCTGGACTGCCAATTTCAGTCTAAAAGGAAAATATCTAAGAAAGTTATGACTCTCTCAGAGGTTTAGACCAGAGTGACAATGCCATTACTGTGGCACTATTACATATTTTATTATTAATAATATTAATATGCTAGGTGCTATACAAATGCACAATATAGCACAAGTCCCTAACTTAAAGAGCTTATCTTTGAAACAAATGCAAGGAAGATACAATAAATGGGTGTTATAAACAATAGGAGGGAAAAGGGGAGAGGGGAGAAGTATAACTATGAGAAGATCATATGGTTCTACAGTTTAACCAATGCACAACTTAACAGCACTAAATCATCTGAAAGATTGTTTTTCTTTTATAAATACATCAATAAGAGAATAAATAAAATATGCTATCAGCTATCACCGACTGTCCTCAGCCTAGCCATTAGTGGCTAGCAGACTTCCTATAGACTTCACAGTGGAAGTGGAAGAAATGGTAGTCTTATGAATTAGGTCAAGGAGTGCATTCTATGTAAGAGGCAGCATGGAAGAAAGAATAGTATTGTTTATGGGAGAAACAGAAAAGGTTCCTAGAAAGATTGCCTCTCCCATCTCAGCTGTGACTTCCAATGACAGCTACATTCCACCAAAAAACATGAAACAGTTGACAGGAGATGGAGCCCTTCGTTGCAGCTGGAGTTAAGACTACAGAACTCACTCCCATATAAAATAAGAATTATCAATACCCTCACAGTATTCAGAATAAAATGCAAAAAACCCACTGTTTGATGTAAGTTTCCCACAAAATAAGCAATTCTTACTGTCTACACACATGGCAGGGTAAAAGAGAAGAAAATAAAATTGCTACTTTTCAAGCTATTCTTAATTTATACACAGACTGGCAAACTGCACCTCAGTTGTGGCTCATACACCCAAAACAGCAACAAACCTGGCTAAGGATCCTTCCGGATTTGTCTCCCAGGTTTTGCACTAGATCAAAAATTTGGAAATTCCAATTGTTCATCTTCTCCATTAATGAGTCATGATCTTCTGTTATCAGTTCTAATGAAGGATCCTGATCCATCTGTATAAGAGAGAATGAACATTTCCACAATGAGAATGAAAACCAATTTGTCACTTGTATTTAAATAGACATTAAAATGATAAAGTATTGTAGAACATTTTACATTTTACAACTGCTGCTGTAGTTATTCTGCACACTTATTTTATCCCATCAACCCTTTTTGCCTTGAAATGGTGTCACAATATCATCGTATACTTTGAAATTTTACTCCTAAAAATAACCAGTATTTGGAATTCTGGGCCTGGTCTACACTACGACTTTAATTCGGATTTATCAGCTTTAATTCGAATTTACCCTGCAACCATCCACACAACGACGCTATTTATTTCGATATAAAGGGCCCTTTAAATCGATTTCTGTACTCCACCCCGACGAGGGGAGTAGCGCCAAAATCGATTTTAACATTTCGAATTAGGGATAGTGTGGCCGCAATTCGATGGTATTGGCCTCCGGGAGCTATCCCAGAGTGCACCATTGTGACCGCTCTGGACAGCAATCTAAACTCGGATGCACTGGCCAGGTAGACAGGAAAAGCCCCGCGAACATTTGAATTTCATTTCCTGTTTGCCCAGCGTGGAGAGCACAGGTGACCACAGATAGCTCAGCTCATCAGCACAGGTAACCATGCAGGCCGATAATCGAAAAAGAGCACCAGCATGGACCGTACGGGAGGTACTGGATCTGATCGCTATATGGGGAGAGGATTCAGTGCTTGCAGAACTTCGTTCTAAAAGACGAAATGCAAAAACTTTTGAAAAAATCTCCAAGGGCATGATGGAGAGAGGCCACAATAGGGACTCAGATCAGTGCCGCGTGAAAGTCAAGGAGTTCAGACAAGCCTATCAAAAAACAAAGGAGGCAAACGGTCGCTCTGGGTCAGAGCCGCGGACATGCCGCTTCTACGCCGAGCTGCATGCAATTCTAGGGGGGGCCGCCACCACTACCCCACCTGTGATCGTGGATTCCGGGTCGGGGATAGTCTCATCAGCTACACCTGAGGATTCTGCCGATGGGGGAGAGAAGGAGGAGGATGAGCTTGCAGAGAGCACACAGCACTCCG